CTCGAACTCACAGAGATCCGCCTGCCTCTGCCTCCCAAGTGCTGGGATTAAAGGCGTGCACCACCACCACCACCACCACCACCACCGCCCGGCTGAATTTCTTATTTCTGCTTTGGTAGAATGTAAACTTATTGCCAGACATCTTTTTTTTATTATCATAGTGAACCAGGACTGTGCCATTCTGATTAAATACTTACTGGGGAGGGATATGCTTTTTAAAGTCAAACTTTCTGAGAAGTCTTCTGGTGTGTATGCAGGGGGCGGGGTGGGGGTGGGTGGAGTGGGGCGGCGGGGGGGTGGGGGGGGGTGGGGGGAGGGAATGACAGGTCGTCGTTATCACAGGAAACAACATGAGGGGAAGATCGCACAGTCCGGGTTGGTTTGATGTGTTTAACACATTGGTTCAACTCCAAAAAGTTGCTGGCTGCCTCTTCCTAAAAGGATGCCCCTGGTACTGGGGGTTCTCACGTGCTGAAACAGCATGTGCCAGCAGACAGCGTGAGAGACCCACTGGGGCCGGGACCAGATGAGGCAGCTAACCCACCCCCCCAACATTTTCAGAAAAACTCAGTAAACATGTATGACGCTGGCCCCGTGAACTGGTCCTAGATGGCACCGTTAACCTTTTCTGTGTTTTAAAGCTGTGTCTCTCTGGGGAAGTGGTACAGGGTTTGTTAAATTTATGTTTGTATTTAGATACAATGTCTCTTTGGGGAAATCTCTTCCTCTTCCCCCTATTTTTCTTACCCCTTAAAAAAAGTTGTTATTATGTGTATGAATGTTTTGCATGCATGTATGTTTGTGTATCATGTGTGTGCCTGGTACCCACAAGGCCAGAAGGGAGCATCGGATGGTTGTGAGCTGCTGTGTGAGTGCTGGGAATGAAACCTTTGTCCTATGCAAGAGCAACTAGTGCTCTTGGCTGCTGGGTTACCTCTCCAGCTCCTTCTTTTGGTTTTGTTCTGTTGTTGTTGTTTTGTTTTGTTTTTTTAAGATTTATTTATTACATATACAGTGTTCTGCCTGCATGTATCCCTGCAGGCCAGAAGAGGGCACCTGATCTCTTTACAGATGGCTGTGAGCCACCATGTGGATGCTGGGATTTGAACTCATGACCTCTGGAAGAACAGCCAGTGCTTCTAACCTCTGAGCCATCTCTCCAGCCCTTGGTTTGGTTTTTCAAGACAGGGTTTCTCTGTGTAACAGTCCTGGCTGTCGTAGAACTCACCTTATAGACTAAGCTGGCCTTGAACTAGCAGAGATCCGCCTGCCTCTGCCTCCCCGAGTGCTGGGATTAAAGGCGTGTGCCACCACCGCCTGGCCCTTTGATTTTTAAGTTCTCACATTTTTATTATTTTTTTTTGTGTGTGTACATGTGTGTGTGTGCACATATGCACAGATGCATGTGGGCATGTGTATATGTGTAGGTTGGTGGGTAACTTTCTGGAATTAGTTCTCTCCTTTCACTGTGTGGGTTCTGGGATTGAACTCGGTTTCGGCTTGGTGGCAAGCACTTACATTGGCCGAGCTACCTTACCAGCCCTTCCTTTGGTCTTTTGAGACAGTCAAGGCTGGCCTTGAACTTGTATTGGTTCTCCTGTTTCTGCCTCCAGGATCCCTTGCCTCCCAACTTTACTAGCCCCTGAAGAAATCTCCTTAGGTTTTGTCTTCCTCAGCTGGGGACCTGGCTACCTTGTAACGCTCCCCCAGTTCTCCTTCCTGTGTTCCACACCTCAGCTCATCCCACTTCCCTCTGAGTCTGCAGCATCCTTATTGGACAGATGGTCTGGCCTACAGGTTCAGCCATCTCCTCCTTTGGTCTCTCAGCACATGTATGCCAGTGTGAGGAGGCCATCCAGCCTTTTTGCCTAGTTCTGATCTCTTGGAGGGAAAAGGATCCCCAAGGTATCTAGGGACCCTTGGCCATTGTGGCCAGTTGATGACATCATAGAGTTTGAAGCAGAGAAAGAACTCCAGCAAGGGCAGAGTTCATTCCATGACTCCAGGAGTCCACCCCTGAAACACCTGGGACGATGGAGGGTCCCCCTCTTCTCAAGTCTTGCTAGGCCAGACCAATAACTACATCAAGGTAAACTGTCTTTGGGAGAACCTCATAGACTTCCTTCTTTAGAAGATAAGCTGGGGATGTAGCTCAATTGGTAGAGAACTTGCCCAGCATGCACGAAGTCATGGGTTCTGATCTCTAGCTCTGCATAAACTCAGAGTGGTGACACATCAAATCCCAGCACTCAGAAGGAGAAATTCAAGGTCATCCTTGGCTATGAGTGAGTTAGAAGCCAGCCTGGGAGACATATAAACCCCATTTCATAACAAAATGAAAACAGCCTTGGCATCGTGGAGGCAGAAGCAGGCAGATCTCTGGATTTGAGGCCAGCCTGGGATATGTAACAAGGCTCTGTTCAGCAATGAAAGGGAAAAGCATTCTTTTCTACATTTTGTGGCACCACACTTACATCCTCTTGGCGCCCTTACAGAGCGAGCTGATAGGTAAAGATGTGAGCGGTTCCTCTATCACCCCCCTTCCCAGAACGAGTGGTCTCATTCATTTGTCATCGTTTAGGAACAGATCTCTTCTGCCCACGGGCAAGAAAGGGTCTCGATAGGAACGATGACCGAGTTCTCATTCTCCCTGCTCCCTGTGGTCCCCAGAGCTGACTGCAGCATCAGGGCTTTGTGTAGCCCTTGTTCTTTGGAGAGGGAATGGCGAACTAGCAGATGAATGCGTCTACTGCTGCCTTTGACTCCACTGTCTGTCTCACCCAGTGGGACCCAAGCTTCACAGACACAGTAGATCCTCTGGAGCCTTGGCTCTGTGGGTGCCAAGTCCTGCTGGAGGCACCGAGGACCCAAGGAAATATGACACCATGGTGCCATGTAAGCGTCCACCAGAAAGAGAAAGGCATATTTGTGTCTGCAGGACAACGTAGCAAATGAGGAGGAGGTGGAGGCAGGCTGTGCCCTCTGTATTTTAGATCCTCTGGGCGTGCGTTCTGAGGCGCATGTGCACCATGGACCCTTGGGGTGATAGCACGAAACTTACGAATCTTTTCTCAGAAAAACGTCAAGTGCATACATAACACGTAAGATTACTAAGGGAATTATATAGCTCTTAAGGAAGTGGTACTAAGGCTGGGAGCCTGTAATTCTGGTTACTTGGGAGGCTGGGCTGAGGGTTACAAGTTCAAGATTAGACTGGGCCACATAGAGAGTCTAGCCTAGAATACATAGAAAGGCTAGCCTAGACTACATAGTAAGTTTCTGTCTCAAACCCCTACTCTACCCAACCAAAAAAGAAAGTAGTCAATAATATAGTCCTACATGTACTTATTTATCATTCATTATATAACAAGTGCCAACAGAACCCAATAGCAATCATAATTTTGAAGCTCTTTTGAGTATAAACCTTATTTTGGAGACATTTACCACAATAGCATAAAACTATCTGTAGTTTCTGGGCCAGTGACATGGCTCAGCGTGCTAAGGCGCTTACGGCAATCTGAACTCGATTCCCAGGACCCACGTGGTGGAAGAAGTTGTCCTCTGACTTCCACATGCATGAGGAAACATGTGCCACCCACCCCACAAACATTAAAAAAAAAGTCTGGTTTCTACTGAAGACAGAGTCCCAGGTACTAGTCACTACTATAGTTCTCACCTCTAGGAACATTTAGAACATAATGTCAGATACATTTCCCCTCTATTTCTCCTCCTCCTTCTCCTTCTCCTTCTCCTTCTCCTTCTCCTTCTCCTTCTCCTTCTCCTTCTCCTTCTCCTTCTCCTCCTCCTCCTCC